CATTAGCATGTTGCTATAGTCCTTGTCTCTACCCTAAAACATTCCTGAAAGGTAGTTCTTTCTCGTCTTCTGCAGCTGGAGGGTTTTGGAGGGTTGGGGTGGAATGGACAGCAACCCACCATCTTTGACTCAGATCAAAAGCAGTATGTTACACTGTCAGCTTCTCAATGTTATCAATAAAAACACTCCATCAATGCCTGTGAACTGCTGTATGTGGAGTAAGTAGAGCAGCAGCCTAAGACAAAGCTGGAGAAGATTTTGAAGTCCACAGGGCCAACTTTAAATAAAGTGATGGAAAAAGGGCATGCCCCTTCCCCCTGCCCCATTCCCCTTCAAAAACTCCAATCAGTTATTTGTAGCGGAATAGCCGGAGAGAATCCTCCCTGCTCCACATTTTGGTTCCTTTGCTCTAAACGTTCAGAGCTACTCAGCCAGGGGAGGCATTTCCTCCTGTCAGTTTTTCTGCATTTTGGAGTATCATTTGCTAAGTGTATCACAACCTGCTGCTTGCCTCAGCGTGTGGCTTGGAGGCATGAGCGTGGCTAGCCCTCAGGAAACACACACATCATTTGGAGATGGGTCTTTCACACAGTCAGTCAACAGTGGGCTAGCAGGCGTTGTCTCTTGGCAGCTCACTGAACTGCCATACTATACGAACTGATCTGACTAGCCTCACCATGCCCTTTTAGCAAACAGGGTTGAATAGATGGAATCAGCTAATGAGGAGAGGGAAGATTATTGGGCTTCAGACACGCTTCAGTCATTATAACAAACACCAATTTGTGTAACAAGCCTCTTCAGGTAACAGGCTAAAAGTACCTTAACTCCTAATTAAATTGAGTCTCCTTTGTAGGCACTTCTTTCCCTACGAAGCCTCACACACATTTTATTTATACCATCCATCTCAATAAACCTCTCCAACAACTCAGCTCTCCTAGACAGAGGTCTTTTGTGCACATCCATGGGGGGGTATTATTTAAAGGGTACAGCTCATGGATATTTTATCTGGTTTAATCTGATTTAATCGCACTAGATTTACTCTAATAAAATATATTTATAGTCCTCATACAAATGCCTCTCCTCCGCTCCCATCTCCGCCATTAGAATATTGCAAAAGAAGGAAAATGTTCTGAAACAAGATTCTTGAATTCCCAAATGAAGTGCCACATGAGACAAGCATTTCAACCACAAAATACTCCAACTATATTTAGCTTGGGGCTATAGCTAGAGATTAACATTTAGGACAAAAGTAAGGGAAGCACGCGTTTCTAATCCAGTTTTAGATATTGTTGCAAATATAATGGCCTCACTCGAGCACCGGGTGAGCCAGCAATAACAGCAATTTCACATCTAAACAAACAGCTCTGGCTAGAGATTGTACAGAGCGAGTGTTAGGGGAGAGACCGGAGGAAGGATCGGAAAAGAGGATATGAAACTATTAGTCACCATAAAAGTTTGTGGTGTGCTGACTGCGGCATCCAATGTTCTGAGTTGCACTCACAGAGATAGCTCTATATTAAAAACCCTGATTCTCTTGAGATAGCGTAAGGAGGAGGGGGGAAAGGAGGCTGGGTTTTCCCTTTATTTGTGCAGTTGAAATAGCAAAATAAATATGAGTAGTGTACAGTTCTGACTTTAAAGGATGCCTTCATCTTACTGTGTCTGTCTCTCTCTCTTTCCTTCTGAAAAAAACATCAGGAAGATATTCTGAAGATCTAGTTTTGCAGCATCTCTGATAAAATATGAATTCCCTGGCATGGATGGCTGGATAAACAGTATAATAAACCACATTTGAAGGAAGGTGTATACAAAACAAGAGTGTGACAAGAGCGAGAGAGCTTAAAACTGATTGAAGAGGCCTTTTAAAGCAAAGAAAACTAGTAATAGTTGGACAGCAGCTGTCCTACTAATTAAAAATAAAAGTTTGTCTAGGAACACAATACCCATCCTCAGGGATTAAAAAACCTGCATATACCATGTTTCTGTTGCCATAAATACATTAGACTCCCCATCTCACTGCTCTTGGGCGCTTCCTCCAATGTCCCTCCAAACCTGCAATCCCTCCTCAACCCACACACACTGACAAAAAAAAAAAAAAAGTAAAGCCTCTACTTAAAGTAGTTATTGTACAAAACAGATCTAAACTCAAATTAACACCCCAGCCCTGAGGGGGAGAGGAAGAATCGTTTCCCATCAAAGAAATACATCATTAAAAAGTGACCTACAAAGACTTAGCCACAGTCAGTGAGACTGAACTCAGCATTACCAGAGCTCACACAAGAGATTAGCTACGTGCTCTTCAAAAAACACATAAGGATTGGGAGCCCTCTCGCTGAAGGTCTATCCTCAAAGCTCAGAGAGCTCTCCTTGTTAGAGGAAAAGGCGTATCTTCAAGAGGGACTTTATAGCAAGGCACAATGGAGTTGTAAGCCAAGATAAGGCAGGCTTGTTGTGGGGGGGGGGGTAGTTTATTTGTTGGAAATGCAGCTTTCCTTGTAAAGCAAAAAAATGTGAGAGTCAGTAGGGGGGCGGGAGGCTGTATTTTGGAACTGCAGTGCTTGCCAAAGCAAATCCTGGGTGTACTATCAACTTGGAGCCTGTCTTCAGGACAGAGGACTGTTCTCATCAGCATGTGTTGCTGGTCAGCCCTGCTGCCCTCCTGGAAGCTGAAGGGATAAATAATCTATGTCTGTGGGAACCGTACCACGCTGGGTGTCATCTGCGCTTGCAGTTTGCTAGCTGCCTGCATTCATTTGCAAATGGGCAACAACAAAAAGCAGCTAAACCTGAGCTCTGCCAAGGAAATAATTTTAAAGAATGACAGCAAAGTAACACAGCTCAGTAGGATTTAAAGGCAAAGTCACCCCCACAGCCCTTTTCAGTTAGATCTGAGCACCGTACAGTCCTTGGGGATTTGGGGAGATGCTTTCTTAACCCAGCCAGGCGCATCCAGTCTACACCTTGATCACTGCTCCCTGAGCATCTCTCTTATCTAGCTCCTAATAGCCTCAGTGCACGTGCGCTGACTCTTGCAGCAATTACCCGGGACCCGCTCGCTTTCAAAGCCCCGAGCGCGGCGTGGACTGACATCCATCTCCTCCACCCCCTTTCAAACAAGCGCTTTTATTTTATTTGTATTTTACTACTCTCCCTGCAGCAGGTGATAGAGGGAGCTCCCAGTGCAGCGGCCCTTTGTCAAATCAGCAGGGTAATAAAAGCCAGACCGGTTAGGAGAGTATTCAACACCCAACACGCACACACCAACCGAGCTTTTTTTTCCACACACAGCCTCAGCGAGGAAGATTAAAGGCAAAGGAAGCCCAGCAGTAAAGAGCCAACAGACGTGGTGTCCTCGCACGAGGGAAATAAAACAGCGCAGAGGCAAACAAAACCCACAGGAAAGATTGCAACTTTGAGCTCTTGTTGCAACTGTCAGTACAAGAGTGACACTAGGTTTTGCAGCCGAATCGCTGCTCTAGAACGTCTCTTCCTTCTTGAGCAAGTTTGGAAGGGGGAGACCTGGGGCTGATCCATGTGACACAAATTGCCGCTTTCTCCTTTAAAAAGCATCGACTCGGAAAGGGTTACGCGGTGCAATCTCCCCGCTCTCGTACATTTCAGGCGGCCCGGGGGTTACAGGCAGGAATTGTGAAGTAGCGACGGGGTCTGGAAGCCCGATTGCTACATCAATCTCCTCGCTCGGGCTGCCAATAGCTGTGCCAGCATCATTTACTTTCTCCTGCAGGTGCTTTTTAACTTGGATCTGATAGCCTGGTCCGCACCCCACCCCCACTCGCCCCTCCCAAACCGGGATAGAACAATAACGTCTCTTACCATAAACCCCGTCTCCCTTGATGTACACCGGCACCACAGCCAGGAAGAAAAAAAAAATAATCTCCATCTTCAAAGCAGATCCCTCATAGCCGGCGACGAAAAGCAGCCCAAAAGGCCAGGCAGCATCCGGTGGGGGAAAGCGAGAAACAGGCGAAAGCTACTTCATCCACAGCACTTCCACCGCCTCTGAGCAGGGAGGGATCCAGGAAAGGCTTGCCCGGGCACAGAGCGCCTCAGCCCGGCCAGCGAAGTCAGCCAGCGCCGCCTGGAAGTCGCCGATCTCTGCACAGTCAACTTGGACGAAAGAAAAAAAAATAGCCCAAAATAGGAGCAATAGTTAAAAATAAACGGGGGGCGGGAGGGGAGGAGAAGAGCGGAGGAAGGTGGAAAAAAACAAACCAGGGCCCCTTCCCCTCCTCCCCCCGGGCTCCTTAGGAGCTCCAGGAAAATAAACACAACCTCACACTCACACACACAATCACACCGGAGCCCAGAAGAGACGGATCCAGCGGGGAGCAGAATCCAGATAAACTCCAGCCGCTTCTCCCTCTGCTCTGACCCGTTCCTGTCACGGGGGGAGGGGAGGGTGTCACAAAGAGACGCCAAACGCTTCCTGAACTCCCGGGCTTCCCAAACTGGCTGCCAACTGGGGCCAACTTGAGAGTCCTCGCCCTCCCGCCCGCTAAGGAGGCGCTGGCTGAAGCCCCAGGAAGGCACAAGAGGGGGGGGGAGGGAGGAGGAGGAGAAAGGAGTGGGGGGAGGGGATAGGTGACTCTCTTTTAGTCTCCAGCTCTTTTGGGGAAGGGGCGGTGCTGTCATTCATTAAATCCAGGGAGGGGTTTGTTTTGTTTTGTTTTGTTTTTAACAGCAGCTCCCCCAGCTGCTGAGCTTCGGTCCCCAGCCTGAAGTTGCCCAGGTGCATCACATCAGCCCCGCTAGCCTGGGGGGAGCGAGGAATCGCTACAGCACACGCACCCTGCTTAGTGGTTTGCAGTTCAGCTTGGCTCTTCTCCCCTCCCCCTCTCGCTCCCTTCCCCCAGCCAACCTGGCAGATCTTTCTGGCTTCCGAAGTTTCCCTGAGGTCGGGTTGGCTGGTTGTGATGGGGGCTTTTAATGTGTTTTTCCCCCTTTCCACGCTAAGAGGTGCAAAGCCAGCTGAGGCTTTAGGAGGCTGGAGAAAGTTGGATTCTTCTTGAAGAAGGCTTTGGAGACACAGGTCCTGGCCCCGCCCCTTCCTCCCAAAGTGTGAAAGTCGGGGGGGGGGGTTGATTCTTTTCTTCCTTCGCCCCCACCCCCAAGATCTTGGATCCGCAGTTTCAAGCCAGTTGAGGAATCCGAGGCTCACTCTGTGTGCACTGTACAATCCAGTGCCTGGATCCGGCTTTACTTCGCCCCTTTGGATAGCATTCGCCTGGGCAGAGACTTGGTCACCCCTGCGAGCTCGGCGCCTCTGGCCTACAGCTTCTCTGGCCTCTTCGCTCCTGCCTCGGGCTGACCCGAGGAGTGAGATGTCCTGAGCCCCTGTGCAGATCGGGAGTGACGGTGGGTCTTCTGTTCGCTGCACCTCTCCCCCGAATTGAATCTATAATCCGCCAAGACCCGGCTGCAAGTTCTGCCTCTTTTTTCCCCCCTGGGGCTTTTCATTTTTTTCACTCCTCTCCACTATGTGCCCCCCCCCCTCCGGTTAAAGGTGGGGGGTGGGGAAGAGCCAATTAAATCTTCTGTGCTTGAAGACGGCCCTGCCTCCTGCCCAATTCCCCGGCCTCCCCCAGGGCACATTAGAGAAAAGAAAACAGGGCTGGGCAAAAAAAGGAATCTGCGCGACTTTTTCTCCTTTTCTTTCGCCTCCTTTCTCCCTCCCCTGCAGAGAAATGTCAGAACCCAGGCAAGGATCCATTCATCCTGGGGGCACACGCGATTCGCGGCCCCATTCCTAAGAGGCCAGGGGCAGAGGAGACTGGAGGAGTTGGTGGTGCACACGCTTGGTGCAATGAGCTTGGGGACGGGTGCGACACAGACAAGTTGGACCGTGTTCGTAGTGTAGCATTGTGGTACGTGTCCGTGATGTGCAGTAAGCATGTGTGCACGCAGGGTGCCTAGGTGGGGTGTGTGTGTTGGTGCACCGGGGTGTTGGGTGTGTTGCACGGCTTGCACGCTTATAGTTCCTGGGTTGCAGGGGTGTGTGCTTGTGTAGTGTATATGTTTCTGCACACTTGTCTCTGCATGGTTGTGTTCCACGGGTGCGCAGTTGCATATGGTCCAAGCGCGCCGGATGCTTATGCACAGGTGTGGTTGTGTAGGATGGGTCTGGACTGCACGTCTGCTGGCGTTGCACGGGCGTGCATTTGCACATTGTGCCGGTGTGTGTAAGGCTGCTGGTGCGCGAGGCTCCCTTTACCCATCCAACGCGTTGAGGCTCGGCCGCGAACGCAGCCCCGTGGAGGAGCAATGAGTACTCTACACCAGGCTGCCTTCTGCGTCTTAATACTTTCGCTGCAATCATCCAGACGCCTGATGCGTTTGTTCTCCTCGCAGGGCAATGGGAAAGACAACCTCCCGCGGCAGAGTTTGGAGCACGGCTGAGAGCAATCCGGAGATGAAAAAAAATACACCATCCCCCTAGAATAATAATAATCCAATTGCTGCAGGTCCCTGTAGAGCCTCGGAGGCAGAACTCCGCCTTTCTTGTAAACGTCTGTGCCTGGTTTCGCGGAAAGAAGGCGCTTCTCCTCTGACCCAGTGAATGAGATGCTCCAGCTGTCCCCTCTGCTCCTAGGTGGTGGAGCAAACGTCTTACTTCTGTTCAGTAGGTCAGGAAGCTTCTTTTTCCTCCATAAAGTCCATGTGAAAGACACCCCCCACACACACACACACCCTTGGTGGGGGGGGGGGGAAGGGAGAGTCTTAAATCAAAGTTGCTCCGAGAATCAAATCTATTCCCACCTCCCCCCCCCAGTATTGTTTAAAAATGATTGGTTGGGGGGCTGGAGGTAAGATGTAGCGAGAACGTAGAAGAAGCTGTTGCAATATTAAACAGGGAGTGCACAGGAGTTGCTGGGAGAAGAGTTATGTTGAGTTTTGCTTCCAATCGAACGCAAAATATGTCTAATGAACTATGGAGCCCCCTTGCCCGAGTTCCCGTGGAAAGACTCCGCTCCTTAGCCTTCGCAACCAGCTTGTGCATTAAACAGATTAGCAAAGGCGCTTCAGGGTGGGGGATGTTTTAGCAGGGAACCTTGGGGAGATACTGCAAGTGCACTGACGTTTTTCAGGAGAGAAACCCATTAATATTTTTCTCGCTGCGCACACAACTGAGGTTTCGGAGGAGCTGTATTCGAGAGAGCAGTGGAATTGATCAGCTCTCTTTGCAGTGGTTTTGTAAACATGCGAAGACGAATCAGGAATTCCAAGATATCTGGATTATTGGGGGAGGCAGGGAAGGGGAGGTTAAAGGGATCTGTGTCCTCCCTCCCCCCTTCCTCTATGTCTCATTACCCTGCTTTATCTGTCATTGTTATTTATCTCTGCGTGTGGTGGGCATGGCTTGGATAGGCACCGGTAAGATCTTTCAGGACGGGGGGTTTATATACTACACCCTAACAAGGGAGGGGATTTAAGCCTCTCTGCGTGTCTCCAGCCTCTCCCCTTTCCCTTTGCAGCCTGCCTAGCTATTCACTGCTTCATGGACTCCCTCCAACGCATCAGAACGCTAATACCACAATCCCCCCCACACACACAGAGCCGGGGGCGCAGGGAATCAGCAAACGCAGAACGTAGGAGCCGCCAGCGAAGTTGTCCCTGGCAAGTCTAATAGGGGAGTTTCCATTTCCCGAGGTCTCTCGCGTAGCCGGCTGTTTCCTTCAGGCTCAGGCGCCGAGGGCTATTCTAGAGCTATAAAGCCAGATCTCTAGAAACCTCTATTCGTGGGTATGATTGTTCCGCTAGGAATATTTTCTCGGGGAATCATTCAACTCTCGACCCTTATTTAAAACAAAAAATAAGTGACCCAATCAAGAGTCCGCCTGAAGATAAGGTATTTAGACATATTCAGCCTAGAAACCAGCTGGTGATTTCCTAGTGCCTTGACCCCCAATATGCTTCTAGACCAGCATAGTCGGCGTTGTAGTTATCCGCGATTTTAGAAGACACTGTGTAATAGATCATTAAGGAAAGTAGCGGCCTTTGCTAATCACGCACTTTGGTATAGTGAACCCACCCCGGCCGAAGTGATATCCCTCTGTCCCTGGGGTCGCTGAATCGGAACCTGTGCAGCCACGGAGAGAGAGAGAAAGAGGTGTGACACCGAAAGGAAAAACCACCTGTAAAAGGCGCACTGGCAGGGATTGATTCATCGTGTGAACAAGAATCATACCCAGGGTTAAACACACACGAAAGAAAGAGTGATCGCCCAGAGAACGGCTGCTTATTAATTCATGCTCTAACAAATAAGCAATTAATAGCTAGAGCTGCTAATTAGTAAGCAGGTATTTCTATTATAAACTGTATTCAACCATGGAGAGGAGCAATAATGTACAGCAGTGATAGAGGCAGCATGAGCAGCCAGACTAGCTGGACTATAAGGACCAGTTTCCTTTTAATGGGGCAAAGAAGGCTGATAGGGTTTATAATAGGCCCATATTCTTCTCCCAATCAGGATCAGGAGTTTTGTAAAGATGGGTTAAAGGAACACTCGTCAAGTAGCGGTTTTCGACAGCTTGGAGTGGGGGGGATTCCAAACTTCCATACGAGTAGAAATGTTTTCTGGACTTTTAAGACGTTTCAATAAACCGTGTTTTGGGAGGGATTTAAATCCAGCTCCCTGCAGCCGGCTGCTACCCTAAAGAGGGCCACATGAGACAGCTGCAGAGAGACCCAGAAAGTCAAGTGAGCAACTTTATGCTAATGCAGGCGGAGAGCAGGGAAGTGAAACCGCCTAGAGACAGAACTTGGAATTGATCAAAACTGAGTGAAGTACAAAAAGGAAACAAATAGTGAGAAGTGTCAGATGTTTACAGGTTTTCAGATTTAATTCACTTCGTTGTTATCAGTAGCAGGGATAACTGCATTTTAAAATGATTATTGGGATAAACATAAGTATGGGGTAGTTTGTAACCTGTGAAACCCTTTGCAGGGTTTTTAATTTAGTTATTAACCCCTATTAAGGATTTGTACCAGCAACGATTTATAGAGCTAACTGAATGGTGCACAAATCCAGCAATATTCACTCAGAGTTTTACATTAATTTGCTTCCGCCATATTCATACCTCTTTTACGTTAGCTTGCTGCGAACATTCACATGCTACTGTTTCACTGAGCAAGTGACCATGGGAAATGCGTTTCAAAGTAATCCGCCGAAGTATTTTAAAGCCACCAAATTTTAAATCAGCACACCCAAGTATTTATGCCAGAAGTACCTGTGAAGTCATCCGATTAGGGGACAGAAAAAAATATCACAATTAACTGACTAATCAGAGCCCGAACAATGCAGCTTGAATAGCAAATATGGTATACTTGCAGCGAACAGGCTGAGATCAGTCTACGGAGTTAAGAACAGTAATTGAATAATGAGTAATTAGAAGAAACGGATCTGTTCGTGGGTATTCTGGGAGCAATAAGAGACGACAGTTGTTGAATTATTTATGAATTATTTGCTCAGGTCTAACCAGGTAACATTTTAAAAATATTAATTTTCAGTGTATCCAATAGGAAACACAAGACAAAAACCTCCTACACTTCCCAGCACAGTTTATCTGCCACAGAACTACAAGGGAACCAGAACCTCCAGGGTTTCCATTTGTCAAAAAGATGGATAAGGGTTGGTGCCCCCTCCCCAAATAGTTTATAGAGAACACATTAGTCCCATCCTCACAACTAAGTGCCTTTCGTCTCTTTGTCAGTCCCCGCTTGTCAAATAAGTCCTGCCCGTCTGAAATATTTATACACACTCCGGCACATATTTCAGGGAGACATGAAGAGGCAGACAGCCTCTGGAACAGATGTGGTGTTCAAAGAGAGGCAGTCATATATATAGCACAGCGGCCCAGGGCTAGAGACGATTGATGAAGTGGGCGAGGCCAAGGTCCAGTTACTAAAACATTCATTCTCTCTGTGTCAATGTTTTCGTGCTGCAGCCCAGCGCACTCCATCACTTCGCCCCTTTCCTGGGGACGCTCCGCTGAAGCTGCTATCCCTGGGCACCGATCAGCTCCGGCTTCTGGTGTCTGGCATTTCCCTCCCCTCCGCCCCACTCCCCGATTCTATCACGTAACCCAAAGCGTTGGTTTTTATTTATTTCCGCTACACAGGGGAGTGAGCACAAGCACAGTACTCGGGTTTGCTGAGCGACTGTCCCGTTGTTAGGGCTTAAAATGAGAAGTGACAAAAGGGGGCGGGGGCGGGGGAGAGAACCAGGGAACCCCTGTAAAGTGCTGGCTGAGTCCAGGAGATGGGGAAAGCGGGTGACTAATGCTGCAGCACTGGTAAGAGCTGGGGGAAATGCGGGTGCACGAGGTCTACTCTCCGGTAACCGCGCAGCACCGCTCTCAGCCCGGGAGATAAGAAAACAGGGCAGCGATAACGATGCGGTGTGGGTCTGGGGCAGGCGGATGGGGACACAGGGCGACTCCTAACGCTGCAGCGTTGGTGGGAGCGGAGACCCATAGGAAAGGAGGCGGACGGACGCCTCCTGTACCTCTGCGGCAGTGGAGAGCTGGGAAAGCAGGGGGACACCTGTCCGGTTGCAGCACATAAGCAGTATCCTCCCATCACCATCCTGTGCTTCAGTTCCTAGGAGCTCCCGCTCCCTCTGAATGCTATGTCAAGGGCGGGGGCCTCTGCCTGCTCCATCCGAGCACGCTGCTCCCCCTGCCAAGGTGGCAATGTGGGCTGATGCACGTGAGGAGCTCTGCTTTGCTCTGAGCAGTTATCAGCCCTCCGCTGGGGGATACACCCCTAGGCTGTGTTTGCTTCCTTCCCAGATTCATTTTACAGTATTACTAGTGCCTGGGAACCTCTTGGGTATTCTCTGCCCTTTTGATTAACTTCCTTCCTTACAGCGAATGTTCGTTACAGAAAGAAATGAGGAGTGAATCCAGTTCTGTTTCTCTAACTTAATATTCATCCCCCCTCCCTCAACTCTGATGCAGTTGTTCTGCGACAGGCTGGCATTTGTTGCAGTTGGTCACTATTCTGTTGGGTTTTCCTTGTCCTGATTTCACCTGATTTCTACTTGGTGGGGGGGAGAGAGGCTTACATTTCATTGATAAGGTTTCTGGGACACCTCCTATTGCCATTGTGAGCCCTCAGCTCTTGGGTCAGTGCATTTAGCTGCTCTTCTACCCTGTGCACCTGCGCTCTGCCCTGCCCTACCCCTGGTGCTCTAAAACTGGAGACTTTGGGCCTTACATTCCCCTCTCCTCTCGGGCACTGCTTTTACCTGAAGGGTTTGTCATACATACTGCTGATCTGTTGCTTCTCTGCTTCAGCTCAGAGGAGGGCTGAAGTCAATATGCAAAGGGGTGGTACCCTACCACTGCCATGTAGCATCTTTCTCTTAGTTTTCTTCCTCCCTAGTCCTTTCTCTCCCTCTCTGCCTCCTTCTATAGTCATGCTTTCTTCCTCTCTCCTCCCCTCTCTCTTAGAACAAACAAAATAAAATCCACCCAAACTGGTGCTAGTTAAAGAAACTCATGCTCCCTTTGTCTCTCTCCCCCCTCACCACCCCAGCCACCTATTTTTAACACACACCTCTATGAATGCTAAATCAAAGTGATGCAAAAAAAGAAAAAGAAAAGAAAAAAAGAGTCT